CCTTAGCCGAAGGCAGAAGCTTAATCGACTGAGCCACCCAGGCGCCCCTCTGACTCTGATTCTTAAGCAACCGTTTATCTGATTTCTGTCTCTGTAGATTTGTATTTTTTGGAAATTTCATATGAATGGAATCATATGAAATGTCTTTTGTATCTATCTATCTATCCTTTTCCCTTAGCATACTGTTTTTGAGGTTCATCCATGTTGTAGTATTTATCAATAGTTCATTCCTTTTTATTGCCATAGTTATTACATTATGTGAATATACCATATTTTGTTTATCCATTCACCAGTTGATGGACATTTAGGTCACTTCCATTTTTGGCTAGTAGGAATAATGTTATAAAGATTCTTATACAAGTCTTTTTGTGAACATATGTTTTCATTTCTCTTGAATAGATACTTAGGAATGATGTGGCTGGGTCCTATAAATCTATGTTTTAACTCTTTCAGAAACTGCCAAACTATTTTCTAAAGTGATGGCACCATTTTATATTCCAGCAGCAATGCATGAGGGTTCTAGTTTCTCTCTATTCTGGCCAATACCTGTTATTGTCACTCTTTTTGATTACAACCATTCTGATCGATGTATAGTGTAACCTCATTTGGTGTTAATTTGCATCTTTCCAGTGACTCATGATGTTGAGCAACTTTTCAATGTTATTAGTCATTTGTATGTCTTCTCTTGTGTAATGTCTGTTCATATATTTTGCCCTAGTTTAAATTTGATAATTTGTCTTTTTACTGAGTTGTAAGAGATTTGACGTATTCTAGATACAGGTTATTTTGCTTTGTTGAAGAGCAAAAGTTTTTGATGAATTCATTTTATCATTTTTTTCTTGTGTGGATTTAGCTTTTGGTGTATTTAAGAAATCTTTGTTTGATTCAGGGTCACAGAGATTTTCTCTTCTTGAATAGGAATCAGCAAACTACCTCTGCGGACCACATCTGGCCCACAACTTGTTATTGTAAATGTTTTATTGGAACATAGCCATCCACACCCACTCATTTACATATCACCTGTGGCTGCTTTCTCTTTACAGTGACAGTTGAGTAGTTATGGAGATTGTATGGCACCCAATACCGAAAATATTTATTATTTACTTTGTGGACCCTTTAAAAAGATTGTTGCTGACCCCTGTTCCAGAAGTGTTGTTATTTTAGCTCTTATAGATATGTCTGTTACCCAATTTGAGTTAATTCTTGTTTGTGGTATGAGGTAAAGATCTAAGTTCACCTTTTTTTTTTTTTATGGTTATTCAGTTATTCCAGTACCATTTGTTGAAAACACTATCCTGCAAGTAATGAGTCATTTTCCTTTTGCTGCTTTTAAGATTTTCTCCATGTCTTTGACTTTCATCAGTTTTATTAGTGTATCTAGATGGGTATCTCTTTGTGCTTATTCTACTTTGGGTTGTTGAGTCTCTTGGAACTGTAGATTAATGTTTTTCATGAAATTTGGAAAGTTTTCAGCCATTATTTCTTCTACTAGTTTTACTGTACCTCTTTTTGGGACTCCTGTTGTATGCATCCTGGTATGTTTGATGTTGTCTACAAGTCTCCAGTGCTCTGTTCTTTTTTCTTCAGATCTTTTTTTTTTCTCTCTACAGATTGGATGATTTATTTTATCTTTAATTTCACAGCTTCTTTATGTAATATTTTCAGACCATCTAGTAAATTTTAATTTCATTTGCTATACTTTTCAACTCTAAAATTTCCATTTAGTTCTTTTTAATAGGTTGCATTTCTTTGTTGATATTTACTACTTATTTAGTCATTGCCATATTTTAACTTTTTAAAGCATAGTTTCCTTGATTTTTTTGAACATATAATAATTATTTTGAAGTCTTTGCTAAATCTGGTCCCATGTGGATACAGCTTCTACTGGCTACTTTTTTTTTTTCTTTTTCCCCTGAGAATGTGTTACACTTTCTTGTATTTGTGGCTCATAATTTTTTCTTAAAACTGGACTCTTAAAATCATGTATTATAGCAACTTGATTCTGGTTTTATTAAAATTTTCTACAGGTGGTAGTGGTAGTGGTGGTGGCAGTTGTTTCATTCGTTCTTCATTCACTTTTTTTTTTTTTTTTTTGAGTAACTTTGTTGGCCTTATATGCAGAATTTACCCCTCCCAAAATTGTGGCTACTGATGTATCTCCTCAGCTTTTCAAAATTTCATATAATTTGGCTTTCTAGAGTTCACCTTTGTGTCTGCATTGCTTAGTGCTTAGCTAATGATTGGTTGGAGGTTGTGATTGAACACCTTGGGCCGGGAAGGCTTTCATCCTCTGCTGGTGGATTAGGTATAGTTTGGGGAGCATATTCAAAATTTGGGCCATTTTCTAGCTTGCCTCCTTTCCTTTCTATTGGGTCTTCTCTGGTCTCCCTATGTGTGCACGCGGATTTCCAGTCAGCCTGGGTTGTGTGATGTTGGTTTCTCTCAGGTCTCCACTTTCCCTTGGGCATGCTCTCCTAATTAGCTGGCATTTTGGGGTAGCTTGGGACCTTATGGGTCTCCCCTGCACATATGTGCTTGCTGCCTTCTACTCAGACGGGGTTATGTGGAGGGCATCAATCCTTTCCTCAGAATATGTGAATTTATCGGGTCCCTCTGTGGCTCTCTTCTTTCCAGAATCTCCCTGTTAAATTTCTAGGTAGTCCTCAGGTTTGTGGCTTGCTGCCACTGGTGCTGTAATCTCAGGCTACAAGAGCTACGGGCCTTTCTGTTTCCTGCTGGGTGTGAGTTTTCTGCTCTTAGCTCCAAATCAAAGTCAGCTCCCTTCAGCAATGAAGCTGCTGGTTTTCACAGCCAACCTCATCATATTGGTGGAGTGGGGCAGGGGGATGGAGGTAGCTCCTGATAAGAAGCCAGACTCCTACTGTTCTTCCCAAGAAGTTCAGTTATTTTACATGAATAAACTGTTCTTACTGTGTTTTTTGTCTGGTTAATTTCTAGAGCACAAAATGGTTTTTTTGTTTTTTGACAGTTTTCTAATTATTTTTTGAGGGTGAGATTTTGTACACCCTCGCTGGGGAAGACCAAATTGACAACTTGAATTCTAAAATCTAGGAATATTACATTTCAAAGCCAGATGTTCTTTTTTCTAATTCATACTTTGTAGAAATACAGAACAACAAGTAAATGTTTTTTTTTTTTTTTTGAGAAATAACAAGGAGGTAGATGTTGATTCAAAGCTTAGATTTCTAAGTATGAGCCTTTTACTTTGGTATAGATAGATTTGCAAGCTGAGGCTGAGGGTAAGTGAATGGTTTGGTGGCTCTGTGGAATCGTAGACATGTATTATTTCTTTAGAGTGAGCCAACGATTGTTGACAAAGTACTTTCCCGGTAGTGTTTCTTACTTCATAGCAATTTTAAAAAATAGATACTGTAATTATGATCATTTTACAGATAAGGAGATACATTTTTAGGTTAGTAATTTACCCACCCTCTCAACTTTTATTATGTGACGGAGATGGTACTTGAACCTATTTCTTCTGGCTTCTTGTTTTTTATACTCTATGTAACTGCGTCCCTACCATGTTATATAATTACTTACATACTCCTTAATGATCTTAATTTATTTATTTATGTAGATAGTACTTGAAGTTAGAACAGTTCATAACAATCTTCTTGAATTTTTACTAGAGCTCAAATTCTTTCCTTTCAAATGATAATCACTCTTAACTTATTGAAGAGCCCCTATTCATTCATGCAGTTGTTCAGCAAACTGGTAAAAGAGTCAGAGAAAGAGATATTCCATGGCAGCTTCCTCTGCCAGCTTCCTCTTTTTTTCTTACTCCATAGATGCAGATTCTGCCCAAGAAGCCCCTGCATTGCAGAGGGACTGGAGATCTGTATGATCTGTTTATTTCGCAATTGACAAGGGTAAGGGGGTCTTTCTGGGGGAGGCGCTTGGGTGCCCTGAATTTAGCTTTATGAAGCTGGGCTAACACTTATTTTGGGAATAAACTTAAACTTAGTATTTTTAAAAACTCTTTTATGAATTCTGTTTGTCCTACATCAGTTAAGTGTCAGATTATCATATTAAAAAGCATTTATTATAATGGTGATTTTTTTTTTTTTTTTTTTAAAGTCCTGTTCAGAACAAGTCAGACAAACATGATTCACGCTTCTAAAATTCCAATCTGGGATCATTTAGAATATAAATAATATTGAATATATGTAAGTAAAATTTCACTGTAATGAAAATTTTAAAAGGCTTTGGATGAACATCTATTTCTATAGCCCATCATAGTTATTCTTTATTAATCTGCTCTGTTCCTTTTCCATAAATCTGTCAATCTGTAGAGTGAAAAAGGGACTTGTGGGTATGTCATAAACATTGTGGGTGGGTGTGGTGTCTTTTTCTTGCTGCTAGAAATTAATACCTACTTCCTTGAATTCTATGTCCACCCTAGATGCCAGTGAAATTTGAGTTGTATCTTCATACTGTCCTGTATCTCTTTATTAGTGTAGGTAAAAGGTGCAGTTGGTGTTTCTTATGGGAGCCAAGATTAAGTTTTGTAGGTCTCACTTGGCAGGTTTATAAAGTGCCAGAAGTGGTGGTATTTATAAAAGGATAGGATTAAAATATTGAGGAAGAGTTTAATGCTCTTTTAAAATTGCGGAAGGATTAGGCAGATGATTGTAGCTTTGATGGGTAGTTGAGAAGACTTGACTTGGTGATGGTCTGATGGGCTTATTTTTATATTTGAGGACATTATTACACCTGCTAGTAAAATAGCTTTGTTTACCTAAAGAAGTATTGTACATTTCTGTATTCAAATAGATATTTTTAGTATTCTGTATCTCTCTTATTTTTAAATGGTCTTCTTTAAACATTTCATTTATAGATTAAAAAATTCAACAGTATGTATCTTACTATTACCATTATTAATAAATGTTCCACTTTTTAGTGCCAACACATTGGAAAACTACTTTTATTCTTCTACTTCTTAAATGACTTTTTTTTTTTCTTTTTCTGTTTTCTTTAAGCCATAAGGATGAGTTTACCATTATTCCTGTACTGGTTGGAGCTCTGAGTGAGTCAAAAGAACAGGAATTCGGAAAACTCTTCAGTAAATATCTAGCGGATCCTAGTAATCTCTTTGTGGTTTCTTCTGATTTCTGCCATTGGGGTAAGTTCTAGATTTTAACGTATTATGGTAGATAATATATACTTGTGGTTAATGGTATCTTTTCACTCTAAGCTCTGATTTTCAGTTCCTTATCACTTCCCTTGGAAAGTTTTACTTTTATCTGCAATGTTTAAAAGTGAATAAAAAAGTCTTTTAAAAAGGATCAGATTATGATAGTGGATTATGGATACATTTCCAAAGGCGACTGGTATAATTGGATTCACACTGTGAGGGCATCCTTGCTTAGCCACTTACATTAGTGGGAGTTAAGATCTTTTAACCCTATTTGCAGGTTGAGTTGAGTGGTAGATTCTCTGAAGTTAGTTTTTTTCGTAGATATAACAAATACTCTTCTTTAGAAGGTAGAAGAGCACTGTGTGCTATGCCAGTCCTTTTCCACATTTCTTTTTTTGTAATTAGTGTTTTTTTCTTTCTACTTTTCCTTTGGTACTTAATTTTTGCCATCAGTTTAGAACTAATGTAACATGTTGGCTATTAGCATTGTGGTCTTCATTGGTAATGGTTTATAAGGGTAAGGACTCTTAAGTGATTTTTGTTATTGTGAATAAAAAGAGCAAGGAAACTTCACAGTAAATAGATCATAAAGAAAGACATTTGTGGATGCCTCTTTGAGTAAATTTTATTTTTTGAGTCTTTGAATATAATTTGCTCTCCTTTATCCATTGCTGTTCTAGAGTATTTTTGAATCCTTTTCCTTTTAGGACATCTCTCATTGGCTTGAGGATGCCAATATCTGTTCATCCTTCAGTTATTTCTTTGATTATAGAGAAAACATAAGGCACAAGACTATAAATTTTAAGACAGAGTACTAGAATGGCCAGAAAAACATCCTCAATGAGATATAGGGAGCCCTGGCTTTATGTGTCTTAAGCATTGATTACCAGAGTTGACTCAGTATCTGTCCTGGTTAGGCTGGTATTTTCTCTTACCTTGCTCTGTGAATGGCGTTGAGATCATTTTAAGAGAGCCATCCTTCCTTATAGATAAATATTTTGGTTTAAGGCACTAATTTCTCATCTGGGGCTGATTGTCTTATGAGGGGGCATTTGGAAATGCCTGGAGACATTTTTGGTCATTACAGCGGGGTGGGGTTGGAAGTGGGGATGCTTTAGGCATCTACTTAGTGGAGTCCAGAGAAGCTGCTAAATAAACATCCTCTAGTGCCCAGGACAGTCCTCATCAAAGAATTATCCTGCCCAAAATATCTAGTGCTGAGGTTGGGAAGTCCTGGCTTAGGGTATGCAGGTAGGTATGCTGCCTTACCAAACTCCCTAAGAGGTTCTCAGGGTTCTTTAATAATCAGTTCTATTGGCTAATTGGTTTGCTACCTTTGGCAGAAGTTATTTTTTATGGATCATAAGTATATTACTTAGATGTGAGGACTGGGTAGATGCTTGGAAATTCTGATGTTTAGTCATAGTTGATCTTAAAAACTAAGGAGTATCATTGTTGAAAAAAGGGTATTTTTTTTAGTATTGTGAATTTGCATTGGTAATAAAGCATGTCTGTATGTTTTAGAAATTAAAAATTCTTGAAGCATGTGTCCCCTCCCTCTTCACTTTTAAGGCTCTTATGAATCACTTTAAATTACTTTTATGATTTAAATAATCAGTTCCCCTAATACTGTTCTTTAGAATCGGGGTTCTCCCTCAAGGTTGGTACCATGTGCAATCACAGCATAAATCCACACAAAAATCAGTAGATGCTTTAAAATTGCTCTTTTCTGTTGAATCATTCTTTTTACCTCATTAATGAGTTCTAAAGCAAACAAGCCCTAGTCCAAATACTGTATTTAAGTACAATATTGAGAGAGAAAGATGAATTTTATAGTCTACCTAGATTCTTGGAAAGTTATTTAGGCCATCTGATCTTCTGTGTTGTAGAAAATTTTGGCGTTTAAATTGTAAGCTAGGATTTCCTGGTGCTAATTACAAATAAGAACTCAAAATTTCCAAAGGTTGGTAGATGTTAGTTATGAGAATTATCCAGAGACTAAAACATATTTATATTTACATTTGGTGGTTAAGTAATAGAACTTTTCCAAGTGTTTATTTTTTTAGTATCACTATCACTAACAGTACTCATTAAGTGCTTACTTTGTGCTTACGGAAAGCACTGTACTAATTCTTATTAGGAAATTCGATGAAGATCTGGGGATAAGTGGAAGGTGTTGCATGGATACTATTCCAAGATTGGTAGTTTCCCTTCTACAATAGTAATAATAACCATCATTCTTGTAAAGTAAGATTCATTTTCTATTTTATATGCCTAATTGAAGTAATATGAATAATTGGCTAGTTATGGGTTAAAATGTCTTAGAAATTTTCATATTTCTCAAATTTCATGCTCTGGTGACATTGGTCATCTTTTCTAAATTAATGAATGTTATACTTCCATTTTAAAAATCTAGTTTTTTCTTCTGAGGATATTTCTTAATGGTTTCTCCTTCTTCTTGTCCTTCTTCTTCTTCTTCTTTGTAAGGATACTATATAAATTGATTTTACCATATCAAAGTAATGATAACACTGAATTAGAAATCATTTCACAGGAAGAATTCAGCTTCTCACATACTCAGAGATATTAAAAGTTTCATTGAGTTAAGCTGTCAACACCCTGTACATTTCTAAATAGCTGATTTTTGAGGAAAAATCACTTAATTGATTATGGTACAGTTGACAAGTTACTCAGATGCCTACAGTGGAATTTCGTTTTGTTTAATAATGTATTAGACTACTAGCAGTGACAACATTTTTCATTTCTAGTCATTATTTCTATTATGTCCAGTTTCTGTTAAAAATAAGGCAAGAGGTTTGGTGATAGAGACAGTGATTGGAAGGGTTTTGCCTGGTTGATTTTATTTGTTAGCCAATATCCATTACAAGAATGACTTTATTTTTTTTAAGTGTACTTTGCTTTAAAGATTTTCGTCTTTCAGATCCCATTTAAATTTTATAAGGACTTGAAAAAGACATCAGAGAGAGAAAAAGTAGGAAAATTAAAATATTCTCAAGTTTTCTTTTTGGGTGGGAAAAGCTAAGGAAGAGTGGGAACCTAGATTCTATTATGCCCTTTCGTTTTGTCCCTTCATTTGAATACCCCACCCCGCCAGAAAAAAAAAAACCCTCACCATTTCAATTTCTGTCTTTTATTTTATCGTTAGTCTGAACCACATGAAAATTAGCCCAGTAGGGTGATGTTTCCTAGTTAACACTTGATGATCTACCTCATTTCACCCTTCCTGCTACTACCAAGGATTGTGGTCTAAATGAAGGACATTTGCTGCTAGTATTTGATTTTTACTATGGTTAGGTAATGTTATCTCCATACTTTTTCTGATTAAGTTTCTTGTCCTATAAGATGGCTCCATATAAGAGAATTTTGACTGGGCCTATTTTAGTTTTTCTAGTTCATGGAATTTTCATTCTGTTTTCCTAACTTTCGTTTTTGCTCTTCTCCATATATATAATATATACTGTTAATATTTACACTTTCCTGATCTCCCTGAAATTTATATTTTCACATTTAGATTATTGACAGCTTTCATTAACATAATTTCTAATTAACTTCTAAGAAGTTTCTAAATGAAACTGCATCTAACAGAAATTGATTTTTTTAAAGTCGATTCATTCTACTTAATTTTCCTTTTATGGCAGTTTTAAGTGCAAATTAACTTCAGTAAATTTACTTGGTAAATGTTAATGATAAATTATTTTATTAAAATATGAATAAAATTTACTACACTCACTTCAGTTTTGGATTTTTACATATAAACTTATATTTGTCTAGGTTTACATAATATCTTCTTTATAAGTATGTGTCACCTATCAAAAGTGGCATTCCCCAGAATATTTATGAATTTTTATCTTTATTCACATTTCTAGTTTAATATATATATTAACAAGTGATTATTCATGCCTGTTCTTTTTTCCTTTCTGTTGTTAGTCTCTTAGGTACCTAAGGTATTACTATTTTCTAAATAATTTCAATTGGTTTAAGTATAAGTTAGCTAATTCCTGAAATACATCTTATCCAAGCTTTCATATTTGTCTTCTCAAATTTTATACATACTAATTCCACATATTTAAATTTTTGATCTTTTGAGGGAAGACTAATACTTTTTTTACATTATGACTAAGACTTTAGAATGAAAGGACTGCAGTTTTTCACGATTTCAATTACGAATGTCCCCAGTTTAGGTGCTTAGTATAAAATGACCTAATAATCTATCTCATAGGTTGTTGTGAGGGTTAACTCAATTGAAAATGCTTTAACATATAAAGTGATTAAGTGATTGTGTAACAGTACAATTTTTACTGGACATATGTCTGAAAGTCTGTTTTGTTCACTGATCTTTTTGGGGGCTTTAAAATCAACTTTCCAAGCTCATTGTTTATTTCTACAATCCAGTGTTTAGCTTAATGTTGAGGTATTTGATATTTTTTTACTTTTTGTTTTGAGGTACTTAAAAAGTAGTGTTGGTTCTTGTAAACCATTCATTGTTATGTTTGTCCTCATTAGTTGATTGTTGTGTGTTAAACAGACATCCCTGGAGCTTACTCTCCACACTCTGTGAATCCACTCATTAATCACCAGTCACCTTTGGAGATGGGAAAATTACTTACCTGTATTTCTTTTTCTCAGAAAGCGTGCTCTGGAATGGATTCACAAATGAGCTACCCTCCTTCCCTCAAAGAGTAAGGTTTCTGCTTTACAGGATTTTTTTTCTTGGGTTATTTTTCCTCTCATCTTTTGAATTTGAAAAGAACTGAGGGAAGGCACCTGAAGAAACTACTGACATACTCACTAGGGGAGCTCCAAAGCTTGTGCTGCCCCTAGGGGCAGTGTCAATGGCTCTTAAAGCTAGAAAGCTCATACTTGGAGTTGAAACAGGGGCTCAGAGAATCCATTTTCCCAGTGTACCTTCTGAAAGGATAAGTTTCAGGTAAGTAATTTTCTCTTACTACGTGATATGCTTTATTCGTACTTATAAAAGTATACAAGTCCAGTTCTCCAGGTACATAGGCAACTGTGTTTGCTCCGTTTAGATGCATAAGCTTTACTGAATGTTAGAAGTATTCTAAAACAAAATGTCTGCTCATGAGTTACCCGAAATCATAACATATTTTAAATCAACAAATGTTTGATTAAAGGTGCATTTATGAACAGTGTATCGTGCTAGTGTTGTCATTTCTTTTATTTCTCATTAAATAAAATCTTGATAAGCTTCTTTTTAATAATTAGATACAAAAGATTTTTTGCATTCAAATTCCAAGAGGTGTTCAACTGAAGTTGTGTGTGTGTGTGTGCGTGTGCATCTGCACACACCTCCCCACCCCCACCCCCACATACAGGCTAGGATGATGGAAACTATTTACTTTGAATTAGATGCTTTTTGTATGTATATTGACCAGAATGAATTCCTCAAGTAATTTTTAAATGCTTGTGCAATTTTTTAAAATTATTCTAAGTTTGAGCTGTTTAAGTAAGCTACATTTTCAGGGTAGTAGCTTTGTATAGTGTGGATTTAGCTACTTAATTGATATATTATTTAGAGTCCATAAAATATTTCTTCTCGATTCTTCAGCTACAAAATGCAAATACCTAAGGAGTAGCAAGAGGTAGATAGCAAAATGTTAAACATTTACTCATTGATTTCCTGTGCATTTTGTCATTCTTTTTAAATCACATGTTGATTTAGTATTTTAAAGTATTCAAAATATCTTATGTATTTTTCTCTTACTTCAGAGGTAGTTTTTAAGTGAAAGTTACAGTGAAAATGGTCCATGTGAACAAGGCAGTATTTCTAAACACAGTTAGGCTTTTTACTTGTGATTAAGGCAGGTCTGACCAGCTTCAGTCATTTGAGACAGCAGTTCTGAACTTGGAAATAAGCAGAGAAGGCTTTCGAGTAGCAAATGGTTCTCACAAAGTACATGCATTTTCCTCTGTGCTTGAAGAGCAGCAGTTTTCAGATGAGATAGTTATGTCCCAGTCACAGGGATTATTGACAGCAAAAACTAGCAGCTGTCTCCTGAAACAAGGAAAAGAGAATGCGTTAGTATAAACCCGAAGTAGTTCAGATTCAAAGAATATTCATCTTGATTGCTTCCAAGGATATTACTCTTACCACGGTTGACAGCGAGTCAGAAGTTTCTTGTCTAAGATTATTCATTTAATTGTTCATTCATTTCACAAAAGATGTAGGGACACTCTGTCAAAAGACCTTTGAAATAGAAGTAGAAATTTAGTACCAATGAATTGAGTCAAGAAGTTTTTGCAACAGACTTTAGATTTGACTTTGAGCTTTCCAATAGCCATCTGGCAAATAGGAAAAATAGGGTCAATTTATATAGTTCTCACTCTTAGGTAGGAGTAAATGTGTACATTCTGTAAAGAAAAGCAAAACTATACTTATACCTAACTCTAAATTTTGAAAGAAATGTCTGGTGAGTTATTTAATATAAGGGCATCATTGAGTGACGAATTGTCACTGTTTAAGAATTTTTTTTAGTGCAAGGACTGTAATGGATCTCATAGTTATGGCGACATGTAGTAATCCTCAATGTTTACAAAAATGGTTGTTATATTCAGAAAGCAGATAATTGTCTCAGAACCTTATTGCTTGATTCTAGGATATCATGAATTATAAGACGCAATACTGATTTAATAGAAGCTCTTGAGGGAAAGTAAGAACTGTTACATGAGTAACTGTACATATTAATGTATGTGTAAAGTTAAAATGTGAAAGTTAAGGAAATACAGTATATTCTAGAAAGGTGACCATCAAAGATGATCAACATCAACAAGTAAAGAAGTGTTGAGAGCTGTGATGTGTCTTTTTTTCCAAAAAAGAGCACCAAAAGAGTTTTACTATTTTGCATCGCTTATCATTTGTAAGATGATGTTTTTTAGTAAGATAAACAGAGAACTTAATTAATTAAGTTCTTAATTATCCAGCCAAAGAAACCCATCTTCTCAGGTGTGAGGATAATAATTGTATATGTGAACTTTGCTCTAAAAATGAAGCACAAGACACAGAGTGTGCATATATGACTGGTGTACTCACATACCTTTAAAATGCATTTTGGTGAATCTTTAAAAATAACTAAATATAAAAGTAATGAGTTCTAAGAAACATAGGCATCACAGAAATAACAAGTGTAGATGTATCTGAAATACAACATAGTCAGTGGAATAACATACCACAATTATTTATGAATACGTTTAACTTTTGGTTTTTATATGACTGTAGTAGGGAGCCAAATTTATTACCTGAGCCTTTTGTTTTCTGTCTTCTTTTCAAGCTTCTTCCAGTTTACCCTCTGTGTTTCTTGGAGAAGAGCTAAACATTGAATGTTCTGTGCTTGTACTCTTACTGAGATATTATTGTCAGAGTAGGACTATTACATTTATTCTTTTGTGCCTCCTGTTTTAAGGCATTTGTATTGATCTTTTTCAAGTAGAGAGTTTTGCAAAAATGAGATAAATATTTTTATTGAGGTCATAAAAATCATATAAGCCACATGTATCTCTGACCTGCACTTTTTTTTTTCTGTAATAGAGATCAAATCTTTGCATTTATATAGCAAAAGCTAAGCTTTCATTGATCTGTTACATTGAGATAGTTTCTTAAACCAGATTTCCTTGAATCATTTTCTTTGGGTTTACCTTCCATTACAGACTGATATAATATGTTTAACAATGCTTCTAACTTTTAAGCTGTTTTGTTTCCTTAGTCTTTTGTATTGCTTGTGACTTTAAGGTTCTACAGTTTGAAGTAGTTTTTAACATCATAAAACACTGGTGATATATCATTTCTTTATTACTTCCCAAATATGCCTTTTATTTTTATGTACAAGGGCTCTTGGGAATGATTCTCTCAGAGGCGTAAGCTGTGCTTTGCCTTCCATGAGAACTGAAATTATTTGGTAAGCGCTTGCTTTCTTTTTAGCTTCTAATTTTTCCCTATTTTATTTTGTACATGATATTTGTTTCAAGGTCAAAGGTTCCGTTACAGTTACTATGATGAATCCCAGGGGGAGATTTATAGATCCATTGAACATCTAGATAAAATGGTAAGTCTTACAGGTGTGGGGTTTTAATGCTCTAAGGTGTTTTCTTTAATTTCAGATTAGTGATTCAAGACTTAATATGTTGAAATATACAGTGGACTAATAATTCTTTCCCTATCTTTATTTAACTAAATGTGCAAAATATAGTTTACAATCATATGAATATTGATTATAAAATAATCCCTTTTCTATTAGTTGAAATTTCCTTTATCTTAATTTTATTTGATTAATGAGACTAAGAATAATATACAGATTTTAGATGCTATTTGGGGGAGTGTCTAAGGTTTAGGGATGACAGGATACTAATGCCATTACTTACTTTTAAGCAGAAACAACCGTAGCAAATTCTTAGTTTATTTTATTATTTAATTTTATTTTTTGGCCATTTGGGTTTTCTTAAATGGTGTTTCATTTTGTTGTTTAAATAGAGAATTTAAAAATATGATTGTATTCTTATCTGGCCCAGAACAATAGACATTGATCCTGCTGTCATTTTCCTTAAAGTAGTATGGTAGTCCTAGTACTTGTCTTCATAGTTAAAAAGTCATGCAAATCATTTTGTTGTTTTTTTTAACTTATAAACAGAATATTAAATATAGCGGATATATCACTTACTGGCTTTGACCTTTGACAGATCATTTCAGTTCTCTAGTCTTCAATTTGTCATCTCTAAGATAAGAGACTTGGAATAGGTGGTCTCTAAATTGTCTTTAAACTCTGTCAGACTTAAAGTCTATGATACGTTTGAAATCAACTTTACCACTGTTTGAAAAGCTTTATGCATATGTTTTAGTATAAAAATATTTAAAGTAGATAAAACATTTTAGTAAGGAATTTGGATCTAAAACTATAGGTAGGTTATACCTTGTATATTTTATTAAAAGCCAAATGGAATGAATGCAAATTTAGTTACCTAGGAGATTTTATTATATTTAGATTTTATCATATTCAAATTTATCTTGTTACTTAGATCCAATTATGGCCTAATACTTTTACCTTTAGAATTTTGTTTGGACTTAATCTACTGACTTTTCTTTTGGCTTTATGATGTCATGTCAGTCATTTAATTATTTTCTGGCTTCTAGTTCTGATCTTATTTTTCTGAGGCTTAGTTTTCAGTTGCCTCAGAAAACTTTTCTGGTTACGTCATCATTTATTTTCTTCACGTAGCAAGTGGTTAATGGGTATCTCCTGTGTGTCTGGTACTGTGTGAAATACCGAAGCTGTTAAGAAGATAAAACATTGTCTCTCACTTAATAGAACTTACAGTGCAGTCATTGAACAGACTTAGAAAGAAGCTATTCCAATACAGAGATGTAAGAGATATTTAGGACACATGCTCTCCTTGTTCTGTGAGAATGATCTAGATGTGCCTATCTTAGGGCTTTGGCCCTTTTTATACTTGACTGTCTGACTTTGTGGCTTTTCTCAGCTTTACCTTCCCAACAAGGTGCACCGACTATACTGTTTAATTTTGCATCATACACTCCACCTTCTCAGCATTCCCAACCTACCTTACCCTCCTGCAGTTTTTCTTTCAACAAACTAAATATTCTACTTATTATAGTTTTGTTAGTCAGGATATTTATTTTGTTCTCTGATGTATCCAAAGTGCTTAGAATAGTGATTAGAACATTAGTAGGTGCTCAGTGAATATTGTTCAAGTGAATGAAATAATATAATCTTCCTATATACATAATTAAATTAAGTGAATACCCCAACTATAATATGAGAAAGGAATAAAGGGAAAGTAATTTATGATAAACTAATATATTTTTAATAATGTAAGTGCCCAAATACCAGCTATATTAGAAGACACTATGAAATAGATGCTTATTACACATTGTATCATTACTATAATAGCTGTCATTCCAAACCTAAACAGTTATTTTATGTTTGTGACTCATATTACTAAGGTGCTTTGCTGGGTGACTTGATTTTCCAAAATGGTGAGCAATTTTTAGTAAAGTTGTAAACTAAACAAAGTACAGCCTTCCCTTACTTTATATGGATATGGCAATTCCTTGGAAATCTACTGTATATTAAAACCATCCAAAACTTCTTAGTATTTATGTATAAAATAGAGTTAAGGGTCTAGATAATTATAAGCAGGTTTTTCACCTATATGGACATGTCAAGAGTGTTACGGGATGAGAACAATTATTTGTGTGTGGGACTATCTTGTATTATAGGACAATCAGCGTCTCTGGACACCACCCACTAGCATCTTCTAATTATTGGGACAACCCAAAAATGTGCCCACAGTTTTCCATTATGCCCCTATTGGAAACAGTTGTTCCATGACCTTACCCTACTTAAGTTTTCTTCTCAGTTTTAATTACTCTGTGACTTATTATTTGATGATTTGTCTGGTGATAACCTCCCCTGATGGATTGTAAGCTTCATGAAATCAGGATCTTTGTCCATTTTGTATCAGCCTTTCACCAGGTACTCAATATATATAGTTGTTGAGTGAATCAGTGGATGAATGGGTGGGGGTAGTGGTGAGAAATGAAGCTAGAGAATCTAGAACAGGCTGTTTATTTTATTTATTTTAAAGATTTTATTTTTTTTTATTTGTCAGAGAGAGCGTGTGTGTGCGTGCATGTACAAGCAGGGGGGAGTGGCAGGCAGAGGGAGAAGCAGACTCCCCACTGAGCAGGGAGCCCGACATGGGGCTTGATCCCAGGACCCTGAGATTGTGACCTGAACCCAAGGCAGACACTTAACCGACTGAACCACCCAGGGACCCCTGGAATATGCTGTTTAAAGGGTATTAAATAGGAAAGTGATAAAATCAGATTATATTTGAATAGATCATATAGCTGCAGTGTAGCAGGTAGGTTGGAGGGAGGTCAGAGGAGAAATGAGTAGACCAGTTTGGTAATCCAGGTGACAAATGGTAATTTAGACAGTGGATGGGGTGGTGATGGTGGAAGAGAGGGGCAGAGTGGATATATTCAGTACATAAGAGATAAACTGATGATAGGAGTTGGAGATTGATTGAACTTGCCGGGGAAGGAAGTATCAAGAATAACTCCTAAATGTCTGGCTTATGCTGCTGGTTGGGTGTTGGTACTGTTCACTTAGGTTTAAAGCACGAGAAGATAGGACTGATGTTTTAGGAGGTAGGGAAATCATAAATCATACTAGGGATATGTTATATTTGCTGTTGCCTTTAGGACATCCAATGTCAAGTTGGCACTTGGATTTTCATTTTGCCAATTATTATTATTATTACTATTATTTTTAAAGATTTTATTTATTTGACAGAGAGAGACACAGTGAGAGAGGGAACACAAGCAGGGGGAGTGGGAGAGGGAGAAGCAGACTTCCCACTGAGCAGGGAGCCCGATGCGTGGGTTTCCTTCCACATGACCTGAGCCAAAGGCAGACGCTTAACGACTAAGCCACCCAGACACCCCATTTTGCCAATTACTTTTGAGTGCACTTACAGTCCTAGGCACCATTGGAGATATGGCAGTAAACAAACACACTTTCACACAACTTTTATTCTGATGGGAGGAGATACATTTTTTTAAAAAGTAAGGATATATATGTTAGTTTCCAAAAGTGATGTGCACTGTACAGAAAATATTGAAAGGGTTTTGAAATAGTGAACGATTCAAGTGATTGGTGGTTAACTGATTGGAGAAAGACTCCCCTGAGGAGAAACATTAAACCGAGGTAGAGATGATAAGAAGGAGCAGACCAAGTAAAGATCAGAGGAAAGAATATTATGGACTGAAGGAGTTGCCTGTGCAAAGTCCTTAAGACGGGAAGAGGCTGGGTGTGAAGAAAAGAAAAAAAAAAGGCCAGTGTTGTAGGAGTACAGTAGACCAGGGTAGGAGTGGTACAAGCTGTGGCAAGAGGAATAGCCAGGGATCGGATAATGTAGGGCTTTATATTCCAGGGTAAGAAATGTATGTAAGTACACAGAAATGATGTAGTTACATTTTTTAATTTTATTTTTTTAAAGATTTTATTTATTTGAGAGAGAGAGAGACCGAGAGAGAGCACGATTGGGGGGAGGGACAGAGGGATAGGGAGAAGCGGACTCCTCTCCTGAGCTGGAAGCCTGATGTGGGGCTTGATCCGAGGACCCTGGGATCATGACCTGAGCTTAACCAACTGAACCACTCAGGAGCCCCTAGTTACATTACTTTAAAGGTCACTCTGGTGGTTGTGTAGAAAATGGATTCTACACCAGGTCCAGGAGCAGTAACAGTGGACATGGGCAGTAGCTTAGTGGGGAGAGGATAGTAACTTCGACTGGGGTGGCATTCGTGGATATGGAAAGAAGTTGGTAGATTTGAGATCACTTTCAGAAGTATTTTCAGAAGGGCTTTGCTATGGAATTATATTGGTTGGAAGCCTGAAGAAGAGGCCTGCAGTAAGTTTGAGAGGTCTGGAGTTCAGTAAGTAACATGTAGATGGTAATTAGAGCCAGGGCAGAGAGGAGATTCAATCACCCGTGGGGCTTTTTCAAAATAGGCTTGCCCGTAGTGCCCCTGGAGATCGCCTTCTGGTGGTATGCAAAGAGTCCCAACATCTTTTTATTCCTAAATTTGCTTTGTAGGTGAATTTGAACTGTCCTGCTATGGCCCCTAATCTTTTGAGTAGAACAGATTTCCTATCTACCTCCTCTTGTTTTCTGTTCAGCTCTTTAAATCATTTGTCAACTTTAATTACGCAGCATTTAATTTTGCACACATAAAAATTTGTAAATCCATGAATTGATGCTGTTAGCACAGAGAGATGTTTTCTCTAAAACATTAGCTTCCCTGGTACTCCGAAGTCACCGAACATAATAGCATCCTTTGGAACTCTTTAAAACTGTGGTCACATTTAAACACTTTGGTAGTATTTTACTAATTATTCTATGTGTTATGTATAAACATCCAAACTTAACTATTCTTTTAGCCTTCTAATTCTATATTGATAGCTTATATTAAGAGGACTAGCTTTACTTATCTTTCTTGAGGTATATTATCAGACAGACC